TATACCCATCGAAAAACTCTGTCTCATCGGTGTACGAACATTCTTTAGGGTTTATACCCATCGAATAACACTGTCTTATTGCTGTATGAACGTTATATAGGGTTTATACCCATCGAATAACTCTGTCTCATTGGTGTATAAACTTAATATAGGGTTTATACCAATCGAAAATTTTGTCTCATTTATGTATGAACGATAAATATGGTTTATACCCATCGAATAACTCTGTCTCATTGTTGTTTGAACGTTATATAGTGTTTGAACCCATCGAATAACTCTGTCTAATTGGTGTATGAACGCTATATAGGGTTTTTACCCATCGAGTAACCTTGTCTCATTAGTGTATGAACGTTGTATAGGATTTATACCCATCGAATAACTCTGTCATATTGGTATATGAACATTGTGTAGAGTTTATACCCATCGAATAGCTCGGTCTTATTGGTTAATGAACGTTATATAGGGTTTATTCACATCGAATAACTCTGTCTCATTGGTGTATGAACGTCATATAGGGTTTATACCCATCGAATAACTCTGTCTCATTGGTATTTGAACGTCATATAGGGTTTATACCCATCGAATAACTATGTCTCATCGGTGTATAAACAATGTTTAGGGTTTATACCCATCGAATAACTCTGTCTTATTGGTGTATAACCCTTATATAGGGTTTATACCCATCGAATAACTCTGTCTCATTGGTGTATGAACGTCATATAGGGTTTATACCCATCAAATAACTCTGTCTCATTGGTATATGAACGTCATATAAGGTTTATACCCATCGAATAACTCTGTTTCATCGGTGTATGAACATTGTTTAGGGTTTATACCAATCGAATAATAACTCTGTCTTATTGGTGTATGAACTTCATATAGGGTTTATACCCATCGAAAAACTTTGTCTCATTTATGCATGAACGATAAATATGGTTTATACCCATCGAATAACTCTGTCTTATTGTTGTTTGAACGTTATATAGGATTTATACCCATCGAATAACTCTGTCAAATTGGTGTATGAACATTGTTTAGGGTTTATACCCATCGAATAACTCTGTCTTATTGGTGTTTGAACGTTATATAGAATTTATACCCACCGAATAACTCTGTCTCATTGGTGTATGAACATTGTTTAGGGTTGAAACCCATCGAATAACTCTGTCTAATTGGTGTATGAACGTTATATAGGGTTTATACCCATCGAATAACTCTGTCTCATTGCTGTATGAACGTTATATAGGATTTATACCCAAGTGTTGTAAATGTGTGTATTGGTTATTTCCAAATAAAGAAATATTGTTATTATTGTATTAAGAGAGTTTATATGAGTTGTCAGAAGTTATTTCTAGTATTTCTAGTATATTGAATGAGTAATTAACGTACGTTTTACTTTATGGTATTAGATGTATCGATAACATCATATATGGCGCAAATTTGTCATGTATTATTTAGAACGTTACCGTTGGGTAAATATTGTAATCGTGAACCCAAAAGTGTTCATTTGTGAGCTCTCAACTGGAAGAAATAATATGTCTTGATTGTTTTAGTAACAAAAGTGTATTATTATAAGCATTTTGAGTCGAGGACTTGTATATTTTATGTCAGCGTTTGACGTTATGTTTTTTTTCTTGCTTAGAATATTTACTTCCGGGAATTTCAAATAAATACCAGTGCAACCGTCACGTTCGTCAGTCTTTGCTGTGTTTACATTTGTCTTGCAGCAAGGCTCAGCCCGGGGGTTCCTAGAGGTGAGAAGCAGCGCATTTAGCTGTGTGCCTCGCAGTTTATATAACAAGTAAGGGTCGTAGTTTAGAGGTAAGAAGCAGCGCAGATAGCTGTGTGCCTTGCATTTATTTGCGTTGTCATTGTAGAATTTATTAAGATAATCCCGTTTGGTCCGTACAAAAATACAAGAGAAAGAATGTTATTTTAGTAGCTCCGCCCCGTATGTAAATTATATAATTGTTGCTCGAATATTGTACATGTATGGAAATATATCGGCTGTTCTAGAAGTTTAATAAAAGTATCATTTTCTACTATTGATTATTTATTCACGCTACCAATGATGAGAGAGAACAGACAACAGATTTGACGGCCGTATTTATTTATCCCTTAGTTTAGTCACAAGTTTTGTGAGTTTATTCGTATTTGCTGGCTTTAAAACTATACAAAAACATAGCAAGAAGCAGAAATTACAACAATGGTGGCAGCGGTTTAGTTCTCACGTTTCAATAAATAAGGCACGTATATTTTTAGAAATACTAATGTGTTTGGAACACACTTAGTGACAAATAATGTGTATGGAGTGCACTTAGCTCTATACATTATACTGTAATAAATAGATTATATTGGAAAATACAGGAGTGCATTTAGCTTCTAAAAAATTTAAAATATTTATAAAAGGAGGTGCATTTAGCTTCCTAGAAAGAAAAAAAAAATTATAAAGGAGATGCATTTTAGCTTCCTAGGAAGAAAAAAAATATAAAGGAGGTGCATTTAGCTTCCTAGAAAGAAAAAAAAATTATAAAGGAGGTGCATTTAGCTTCCAAATAATTATTTATTAGAGAAATAGAGGTGTAGTTAGCTTCTATTGGCATATTATTGTTTGTTTTAAAAATGGATATTAGAAATAGAAAAATCCCAGCTCCAAATTTTGGAAGGGGGGAAAGTATAAAGAATATAATTAATAGCTCGGTCTTATTGGTGTTTGAAAGTTATGTAGGATTTATACCCATCGAGTAACTCTGTCTCATTGGTGTATGAACATTGTTGAAGGTTTATACCTATCGAATAACTCTGTCTTATTGGTGTTTGAACGTTATATAGGGTTTATTCCCATCGAATAACTCTGTCTCATTGGTGTATGAACGTCATATAGGGTTTATACCCATCGAATAACTATGTCTCATCGGTGTATAAACATTGTTTAGGGTTTATTCCCATCGAATAACTCCGTCTTATTGGTGTATGAACCTTATATAGGGTTTATTCCCATCGAATAACTCTGTCTCATTGGTGTATGAACGTCATATAGGGTTTATACCCATCGAATAGCTCTGTCTCATTGGTATGTGAACGTCATATAGGGTTTATACCCATCGAATAACTCTGTCTCATTGGTGTATAAACGATGTATAGGGTTTATACCTATCTAAAAACTTTGTCTTAATGGTGTATGAACGTCATATAGGGTTTATACCCATCAAATAACTCTGTCTCATTGGTGTATGAACGTCATATAAGGTTTATACCCATCGAATAACTCTGTTTCATCGGTGTATGAACATTGTATAGGGTTTATACCAATCGAATAATTACTCTGTCTTATTGGTGTATAAACTTCATATAGGGTTTATACCCATCGAAAAACTTTGTCTCATTTATGTATGAACGATAAATATGGTTTATACCCATCGAATAACTCTGTCTCATTGTTGTTTGAACGTTATATAGGATTTATACCCATCGAATAACTCTGTCTCATTGGTGTATGAACATTGTTTTGGGTTTATACCCATCGAATAACTCTGTCTAATTGGTGTATGAACGTTATATAGGGTTTTTACCCATCGAATAACTCTGTCTCATTGGTGTATGAACGTTATATAGGATTTATACCCATCGAATAACTCTGTCAAATTGGTGTATGAACATTGTTTAGGGTATATACCCATCGAATAACTCTGTCTTATTGGTGTTTGAACGCTATATAGAATTTATACCCATCGAATAACTCTGTCTCATTGGTGTATGAACATTGTTTAGGGTTTAAACCCATCGAATGACTCTGTCTAATTGATGTATGAACGTTATATTGGGTTTATACCCATCGAATAACTTTGTCTCATTGCTGTATGAACGTTATATTAGATTTATACCCAAGTGTTGTAAATGTGTGTATTGGTTATTTCCAAATAAAGAAATATTGTTATTATTGTATTAAGAGAGTTTATATGAGTTGTCAGAAGTTATTTCTAGTATTTCTAGTATATTGAATGAGTAATTAACGTACGTTTTACTTTATGGTATTAGATGTATCGATAACATCATATATGACGCAAATTTGTCATGTATTATTCAGAACGTTACCGTTGGGTAAATATTGTAATCGTGAACCCAAAAGTGTTCATTTGTGAGCTCTCAACTGGAAGAAATAATATGTCTTGATTGTTTTAGTAACAAAAGTGTATTATTATAAGCATTTTGAGTCGAGGACTTGTATATTTCATGTCAGCGTTTGACGTTATGTTTTTCTTCTTGCTTAGAATATTTACTTCCGGGAATTTCAAATAAATACCAGTGCAACCGTCACGTTCGTCAGTCTTTGCTGTGTTTACATTTGTCTTGCAGCAAGGCTCAGCCCGGGGGTTCCTAGAGGTGAGAAGCAGCGCATTTAGCTGTGTTCCTCGCAGTTTATATTACAAGTAAGGGTCGTAGTTTAGAGGTAAGAAGCAGCGCAGATAGCTGTATGCCTTGCATTTATTTACGTTGTCATTGTAGAATTTATTAAGATAATCCCGTTTGGTCCGTACAAAAATACAAGAGAAAGAATGTTATTTTAGTAGCTCCGCCCCGTATGTAAATTATATAATTGTTGCTCGAATATTGTACATGTATGGAAATATATCGGCTGTTCTAGAAGTTTCATAAAAGTATCATTTTCTACTATTGATTATTTATTCACGCTACCAATGATGAGAGAGAACAGACAACAGATTTGACGGCCGTATTTATTTATCCCTTAGTTTAGTCACAAGTTTTGTGAGTTTATTCGTATTTGCTGGCTTTAAAACTATACAAAAACATAGCAAGAAGCAGAAATTACAACAATGGCGGCAGCGGTTTAGTTCTCACGTTTCAATAAATAAGGCACGTATATTTTTAGAAATACTAATGTGTATGGAACACACTTAGTGACAAATATTGTGTATGGAGTGCACTTAGCTCTATACATTATACTGTAATAAATAGATTATATTGGAAAAAAACAGGAGTGCATTTAGCTTCTAAAAAATTTAAAATATTTATAAAAGGAGGTGCATTTAGCTTCCTAGAAAGAAAAAAAAATTATAAAGGAGGTGCATTTTAGCTTCCTAGCAAGAAAAAAAATATAAAGGAGGTGCATTTAGCTTCCTAGAAAGAAAAAAAAATTATAAAGGAGGTGCATTTAGCTTCCAAATAATTATTTATTAGAGAAATAGAGGTGTAGTTAGCTTCTATTGGCATATTATTGTTTGTTTTAAAAATGGATATTAGAAATAGAAAAATCCCAGCTCCAAATTTTGGAAGGGGGGAAAGTATGAAGAATATAATTATTTCACAGAGCGGAACTGTTGAGCCCTGTAATTTAATAGATTTGGGTATAGAAGATGATGTTAATTTATATACATCCAACCCCGCAGTAAGTCCTATAAACTCGCCTGTGCAGAATACTAGGACGATTGAGGAAAGTAAGACGAATTTGAATAATAAAGATATTATTGCGATTCTAATGGACATTCAGAGACAATTAAAAAATCAAAATGATAGTTTTTCTGAGCTGAGCACGCAAGTTAAGCTAAATCAGGAAAATATAGTTCAATTAGTAAGGGGTAACAGTGTGGCTGAAAATAAGGCCAATATGCATGACTTCAGTCAAAATAGCTGTTTAGACTTTAATAGGACATCCATTGAACAACATAACCAGGTATTAACAGCCCCTCAGCTAGCAGCTAAAACAAGTACTAATAACCCTTATACATCATGTCCAGTTAGCACAAATCCTATAAGAGTAAGTAGTCATGTTCAGCAACTGCAAAAGGAAGAACCAAAACCTAGAAGCCCATTCTTTAATGGTAAGGAAGATTTCAAGGCCTTCTGGACACAGTTTAGGCTATTGAGTAGTAGATTCAAATGGTCCAGCGACAGACAAGTGGAGGAGCTCATTTTAAATAGTCTTAGAGATGACGCCTTGGTATTCGTAAATGAGCTTCCTGCTTCCTTGCACAGAGACATACAACAAATACATGATGCCATGTCTCAGAGATTTGGGGATCACATTTTACCAGAGACGTATAGGACCAACTTGCAGTTTATTAAACAGAACCACAAAGAAAGCATACAAGAATATGCATCTCGTGTGAAGAGACTAGTAGGTAAGGCATACCCTGATGTAAATGACTTGAGTTTACTGGACCGTTTCAAAACAGAACACTTTATTAAGGGTCTGCCAGACCAGTCACTAGCTTATGAGGTCCTCATACAGAAGCCAGCAACATCGCATGATGCAATAAATATAGTCACATGGCACGAGTGTTGTCGAAAAAATGTAAATAAAAACTTTAATGTCAGACAAGTAATTAAATACCGATGCAAACTATATAGCACAAGAGAAAACAGAAGACTTCGAGGTATGTAGGACGGAGAATCCAACCCAATATGTCACTCATGCAGAATTTAAAATGGGCATAGATGATTTGAAAAAGGAGTTCAAAATGGATGTTGAAGACATAAAGCAGGATTTAAATGAGATAAAAGATCTGTTTAAAACTGAGAAGCAAGAAAGAGAAAATTTTGGTCCGTTAAATAGACATAATGTTAGGAAGAAAGACCAATTTAATGCCAACAACAGTAACAGAGTAAATACATGTTACTCATGCCACCAAGAGGGACATTACAGCAGATATATTGTCCTTTCTCAAGAGGAAAAAGAGGGAAACCAGAAAATATGAATACTTTCGAAGGGAACCAGCAGTTTGGATTTACAAGTCAGGATTATCAGAAATAGTTGGGCCTATATAGCAGATAAGCCTACTGGCCAAATATCAGAATATTTTTGTGTAGATTCGGATTTTTTATAATGTAGATATGAAACTTGTGTGATTTTTTTGTTATTGATAAAATGTAAAAAGTGATTTAATGGTTTATTGAGAAGACTTGTAATATTTGTTTATCCACTGAGTATACAGTACACTAAGCACAAATATGTATAGATTTTTGCACTTTAAGGAATATATAGTGGTATTGATATGTTTTTGAGATTTTCAGAAAACAGGTGATGTTTTTTTTTATTAGAAGCTGGAATTGGATGGTCCTATTGGCGTTGTTATCCTTATGCAGTAAAATTGTTTAATACTATTTTGGTGGGAAGCTGCTTTCGGTGGGTGTATATTGGCAGTTGGGATACTTATAAGGAGCCATTTTTGTTTTGGCGGAGATTAAGTTAAGGCTAATGATTAGTCTAGATTGCAATATACATTTTGGTTACACCATGGGTATGCTGAGCTATAGTCTACACCATTTTAGATATTTCTCGGGGAATACTGATGACTATTTTTTATTAGTTGTACTTTTGTACCTATTTTTATACTTATGTTTGTATGGTACATCAGTATCGAAGATTGTGTATAAATTTATACGCGGGGTACCCTTGTGGTATAGAACTTGATAGGACATTTGTTGGCTTATGGTTAGCCTGGTGTTTAGAAGAAGTTGAGCTTCATGATGTTTATAATTCCAGCGTCTGATAGAATGGAGAATCTTGGATTGAATTTTAAATGGAGTATACGGTATTAGTGCTGTAACTGGATGCAAAAATAGACTTTTATTTTATATTTTCGATAATGACACAATGAAGAAAAATGTATATTTTACCTTTTAAGTATTAACAGGCGCATTAGTTTGTTAACACAGACATTATTTTTATGACATAAACAGGCGCAGTAGTTTGTTGATGTATGGTTAAGTTTAAGTTTTAAAGATAGCTGTAATATTTGCTTGTTTTTGGCAAATTAGAGATTTTTTATTTGTATAATAGAGTATTACGTACATAGCAATATTGTGAAAAGAATTTTTGAAATGTATTGTCAGAATTGACAAGACCATATTTCGAGGAAGAAATGTATTCTGGGGAGGGGCAGTGTTGTAAATGTGTGTATTGGTTATTTCCAAGTAAAGAAATATTGTTATCATTGTATTTAGGGAGTTTATATGAGTTGTCAGAAGTTATTTCTAGTATTTCTAGTATATTGAATGGGTAATTAACGTACGTTTTACTTTATGGTATTAGATGTATCGATAACGTCATATATGGCGCAAATTTGTCATGTATTATTCAGAACATTACCGTTGGGTAAATATTGTAATCGTGAACCCAAAAGTGTTCCTTTGTGAGCTCTCAACTGGAAGAAATAATATGTCTTGATTGTTTTAGTAACAAAAGTGTATTATTATAAGCATTTGAGTCGAGGACTTGTATATTTCATGTCAGCGTTTGACGTTATGTTTTTCTTCTTGCTTAGAATATTTACTTCCGGGAATTTCAAATTAATACCAGTGCAACCGTCACGTTCGTCAGTCTTTGCTGTGTTTACATTTGGCTTGCAGCAAGGCTCAGCCCGGGGGTTCCTAGAGGTGAGAAGCAGCGCATTTAGCTGTATGCCTTGCATTTATTTACGTTGTCATTGTAGAATTTATTAAGATAATCCCGTTTGGTCCGTACAAAAATACAAGAGAAAGAATGTTATTTTAGTAGCTCCGCCCCGTATGTAAATTATATAATTGTTGCTCGAATATTGTACATGTATGGAAATATATCGGCTGTTCTAGAAGTTTCATAAAAGTATCATTTTCTACTATTGATTATTTATTCACGCTACCATTGATGAGAGAGAACAGACAACAGATTTGACGGCCGTATTTATTTATCCCTTAGTTTAGTCACAAGTTTTGTGAGTTTATTCGTATTTGCTGGCTTTAAAACTATACAAAAACATAGCAAGAAGCAGAAATTACAACAATGGCGGCAGCGGTTTAGTTCTCACGTTTCAATAAATAAGGCACGTATATTTTTAGAAATACTAATGTGTATGGAACACACTTAGTGACAAATATTGTGTATGGAGTGCACTTAGCTCTATACATTATACTGTAATAAATAGATTATATTGGAAAATACAGGAGTGCATTTAGCTTCTAAAAAATTTAAAATATTTATAAAAGGAGGTGCATTTAGCTTCCTAGAAAGAAAAAAAAATTATAAAGGAGGTGCATTTTAGCTTCCTAGCAAGAAAAAAAATATAAAGGAGGTGCATTTAGCTTCCTAGAAAGAAAAAAAATTATAAAGGAGGTGCATTTAGCTTCCAAATAATTATTTATTAGAGAAATAGAGGTGTAGTTAGCTTCTATTGGCATATTATTGTTTGTTTTAAAAATGGATATTAGAAATAGAAAAATCCCAGCTCCAAATTTTGGAAGGGGGGAAAGTATGAAGAATATAATTATTTCACAGAGCGGAACTGTTGAGCCCTGTAATTTAATAGATTTGGGTATAGAAGATGATGTTAATTTATCTACATCCAACCCCGCAGTAAGTCCTATAAACTCGCCTGTGCAGAATACTAGGACGATTGAGGAAAGTAAGACGAATTTGAATAATAAAGATATTATTGCGTTTCTAATGGACATTCAGAGACAATTAAAAAATCAAAATGATAGTTTTTCTGAGCTGAGCACGCAAGTTAAGCTAAATCAGGAAAATATAGTTCAATTAGTAAGGGGTAACAGTGTGGCTGAAAATAAGGCCAATATGCATGACTTCAGTCAAAATAGCTGTTTAGACTTTAATAGGACATCCATTGAACAACATAACCAGGTATTAACAGCCCCTCAGCTAGCAGCTAAAACAAGTACTAATAACCCTTATACATCATGTCCAGTTAGCACAAATCCTATAAGAGTAAGTAGTCATGTTCAGCAACTGCAAAAGGAAGAACCAAAACCTAGAAGCCCATTCTTTAATGGTAAGGAAGATTTCAAGGCCTTCTGGACACAGTTTAGGCTATTGAGTAGTAGATTCAAATGGTCCAGCGACAGACAAGTGGAGGAGCTCATTTTAAATAGTCTTAGAGATGACGCCTTGGTATTCGTAAATGAGCTTCCTGCTTCCTTGCACAGAGACATACAACAAATACATGATGCCATGTCTCAGAGATTTGGGGATCACATTTTACCAGAGACGTATAGGACCAACTTGCAGTTTATTAAACAGAACCACAAAGAAAGCATACAAGAATATGCATCTCGTGTGAAGAGACTAGTAGGTAAGGCATACCCTGATGTAAATGACTTGAGTTTACTGGACCGTTTCAAAACAGAACACTTTATTAAGGGTCTGCCAGACCAGTCACTAGCTTATGAGGTCCTCATACAGAAGCCAGCAACATCGAATGATGCAATAAATATAGTCACATGGCACGAGTGTTGTCGAAAAAATGTAAATAAAAACTTTAATGTCAGACAAGTAATTAAATACCGATGCAAACTATATAGCACAAGAGAAAACAGAAGACTTCGAGGTATGTAGGACGGAGAATCCAACCCAATATGTCACTCATGCAGAATTTAAAATGGGCATAGATGATTTGAAAAAGGAGTTCAAAATGAATGTTGAAGACATAAAGATTTAAATGAGATAAAAGATCTGTTTAAAACTGAGAAACAAGAAAGAGAAAATTTTGTCCGTTAAATAGACATAATGTTAGGAAGAAAGACCAATTTAATGCCAACAACAGTAACAGAGTAAATACATGTTACTCATGCCACCAAGAGGGACATTACAGCAGATATTGTCCTTTCTCAAGAGGAAAAAGAGGGAAACCAGAAAATATGAATACTTTCGAAGGGAACCAGCAGTTTGGATTTACAAGTCAGGATTATCAGAAATAGTTGGGCCTATATAGCAGATAAGCCTTCTGGCCAAATATCAGAATATTTTTGTGTAGATTCGGATTTTTTATAATGTAGATATGAAACTTGTGTGATTTTTTTGTTATTGATAAAATGTAAAAAGTGATTTAATGGTTTATTGAGAAGACTTGTAATATTTGTTTATCCACTGAGTATACAGTACACTAAGCACAAATATGTATAGATTTTTGCACTTTAAGGAATATATAGTGGTATTGATATGTTTTTGAGATTTTCAGAAAACAGGTGATGTTTTTTTTTATTAAAAGCTGGAATTGGATGGTCCTATTGGCGTTGTTATCCTTATGCAGTAAAATTGTTTAATACTATTTTGGTGGGAAGCTGCTTTCGGTGGGTGTATATTGGCAGTTGGGATACTTATAAGGAGCCATTTTTGTTTTGGCGGAGATTAAGTTAAGGCTAATGATTAGTCTAGATTGCAATATACATTTTGGTTACACCATGGGTATGCTGAGCTATAGTCTACACCATTTTAGATATTTCTCGGGGAATACTGATGACTATTTTTTATTAGTTGTACTTTTGTACCTATTTTTATACTTATGTTTGTATGGTACATCAGTATCGAAGATTGTGTATAAATTTATACGCGGGGTACCCTTGTGGTATAGAACTTGATAGGACATTTGTTGGCTTATGGTTAGCCTGGTGTTTAGAAGAAGTTGAGCTTCATGATGTTTATAATTCCAGCGTCTGATAGAATGGAGAATCTTGGATTGAATTTTAAATGGAGTATACGGTATTAGTGCTGTAACTGGATGCAAAAATAGACTTTTATTTTATATTTTCGATAATGACACAATGAAGAAAAATTTATATTTTACCTTTTAAGTATTAACAGGCGCATTAGTTTGTTAACACAGACATTATTTTTATGACATAAACAGGCGCAGTAGTTTGTTGATGTATGGTTAAGTTTAAGTTTTAAAGATAGCTGTAATATTTGCTTGTTTTTGGCAAATTAGAGATTTTTTATTTGTATAATAGAGTATTACGTACATAGCAATATTGTGAAAAGAATTTTTGAAATGTATTGTCAGAATTGACAAGACCATATTTCGAGGAAGAAATGTATTCTGGGGAGGGGCAGTGTTGTAAATGTGTGTATTGGTTATTTCCAAGTAAAGAAATATTGTTATCATTGTATTAAGAGAGTTTATATGAGTTGTCAGAAGTTATTTCTAGTATTTCTAGTATATTGAATGAGTAATTAACGTACGTTTTACTTTATGGTATTAGATGTATCGATAACGTCATATATGGCGCAAATTTGTCATGTATTATTCAGAACATTACCGTTGGGTAAATATTGTAATCGTGAACCCAAAAGTGTTCCTTTGTGAGCTCTCAACTGGAAGAAATAATATGTCTTGATTGTTTTAGTAACAAAAGTGTATTATTATAAGCATTTGAGTCGAGGACTTGTATATTTTATGTCAGCGTTTGACGTTATGTTTTTCTTCTTGCTTAGAATATTTACTTCCGGGAATTTCAAATAAATACCAGTGCAACCGTCACGTTCGTCAGTCTTTGCTGTGTTTACATTTGGCTTGCAGCAAGGCTCAGCCCGGGGGTTCCTAGAGATGAGAAGCAGCGCATTTAGCTGTTTGCCTTGCATTTATTTACGTTGTCATTGTAGAATTTATTAAGATAATCCCGTTTGGTCCGTACAAAAATACAAGAGAAAGAATGTTATTTTAGTAGCTCCGCCCCGTATGTAAATTATATAATTGTTGCTCGAATATTGTACATGTATGGAAATATATCGGCTGTTCTAGAAGTTTCATAAAAGTATCATTTTCTACTATTGATTATTTATTCACGCTACCAATGATGAGAGAGAACAGACAACAGATTTGACGGCCGTATTTATTTATCCCTTAGTTTAGTCACAAGTTTTGTGAGTTTATTCGTATTTGCTGGCTTTAAAACTATACAAAAACATAGCAAGAAGCAGAAATTACAACAATGGCGGCAGCGGTTTAGTTCTCACGTTTCAATAAATAAGGCACGTATATTTTTAGAAATACTAATGTGTATGGAACACACTTAGTGACAAATATTGTGTATGGAGTGCACTTAGCTCTATACATTATACTGTAATAAATAGATTATATTGGAAAATACAGGAGTGCAGTTAACTTCTAAAAAATTTAAAATATTTATAAAAGGAGGTGCATTTAGCTTCCTAGAAAGAAAAAAAAATTATAAAGGAGGTGCATTTTAGCTTCCTAGCAAGAAAAAAAATATAAAGGAGGTGCATTTAGCTTCCTAGAAAGAAAAAAAATTATAAAGGAGGTGCATTTAGCTTCCAAATAATTATTTATTAGAGAAATAGAGGTGTAGTTAGCTTCTATTGGCATATTATTGTTTGTTTTAAAAATGGATATTAGAAATAGAAAAATCCCAGCTCCAAATTTTGGAAGGGGGGAAAGTATGAAGAATATAATTATTTCACAGAGCGGAACTGTTGAGCCCTGTAATTTAATAGATTTGGGTATAGAAGATGATGTTAATTTATCTACATCCAACCCCGCAGTAAGTCCTATAAACTCGCCTGTGCAGAATACTAGGACGATTGAGGAAAGTAAGACGAATTTGAATAATAAAGATATTATTGCGATTCTAATGGACATTCAGAGACAATTAAAAAATCAAAATGATAGTTTTTCTGAGCTGAGCACGCAAGTTAAGCTAAATCAGGAAAATATAGTTCAATTAGTAAGGGGTAACAGTGTGGCTGAAAATAAGGCCAATATGCATGACTTCAGTCAAAATAGCTGTTTAGACTTTAATAGGACATCCATTGAACGACATAACCAGGTATTAACAGCCCCTCAGCTAGCAGCTAAAACAAGTACTAATAACCCTTATACATCATGTCCAGTTAGCACAAATCCTATAAGAGTAAGTAGTCATGTTCAGCAACTGCAAAAGGAAGAACCAAAACCTAGAAGCCCATTCTTTAATGGTAAGGAAGATTTCAAGGCCTTCTGGACACAGTTTAGGCTATTGAGTAGTAGATTCAAATGGTCCAGCGACAGACAAGTGGAGGAGCTCATTTTAAATAGTCTTAGAGATGACGCCTTGGTATTCGTAAATGAGCTTCCTGCTTCCTTGCACAGAGACATACAACAAATACATGATGCCATGTCTCAGAGATTTGGGGATCACATTTTACCAGAGACGTATAGGACCAACTTGCAGTTTATTAAACAGAACCACAAAGAAAGCATACAAGAATATGCATCTCGTGTGAAGAGACTAGTAGGTAAGGCATACCCTGATGTAAATGACTTGAGTTTACTGGACCGTTTCAAAACAGAACACTTTATTAAGGGTCTGCCAGACCAGTCACTAGCTTATGAGGTCCTCATACAGAAGCCAGCAACATCGCATGATGCAATAAATATAGTCACATGGCACGAGTGTTGTCGAAAAAATGTAAATAAAAACTTTAATGTCAGACAAGTAATTAAATACCGATGCAAACTATATAGCACAAGAGAAAACAGAAGACTTCGAGGTATGTAGGACGGAGAATCCAACCCAATATGTCACTCATGCAGAATTTAAAATGGGCATAGATGATTTGAAAAAGGAGTTCAAAATGGATGTTGAAGACATAAAGCAGGATTTAAATGAGATAAAAGATCTGTTTAAAACTGAGAAGCAAGAAAGAGAAAATTTTGGTCCGTTAAATAGACATAATGTTAGGAAGAAAGACCAATTTAATGCCAACAACAGTAACAGAGTAAATACATGTTACTCATGCCACCAAGAGGGACATTACAGCAGATATATTGTCCTTTCTCAAGAGGAAAAAGAGGGAAACCAGAAAATATGAATACTTTCGAAGGGAACCAGCAGTTTGGATTTACAAGTCAGGATTATCAGAAATAGTTGGGCCTATATAGCAGATAAGCCTACTGGCCAAATATCAGAATATTTTTGTGTAGATTCGGATTTTTTATAATGTAGATATGAAACTTGTGTGATTTTTTTGTTATTGATAAAATGTAAAAAGTGATTTAATGGTTTATTGAGAAGACTTGTAATATTTGTTTATCCACTGAGTATACAGTACACTAAGCACAAATATGTATAGATTTTTGCACTTTAAGGAATATATAGTGGTATTGATATGTTTTTGAGATTTTCAGAAAACAGGTGATGTTTTTTTTTATTAGAAGCTGGAATTGGATGGTCCTATTGGCGTTGTTATCCTTATGCAGTAAAATTGTTTAATACTATTTTGGTGGGAAGCTGCTTTCGGTGGGTGTATATTGGCAGTTGGGATACTTATAAGGAGCCATTTTTGTTTTGGCGGAGATTAAGTTAAGGCTAATGATTAGTCTAGATTGCAATATACATTTTGGTTACACCATGGGTATGCTGAGCTATAGTCTACACCATTTTAGATATTTCTCGGGGAATACTGATGACTATTTTTTATTAGTTGTACTTTTGTACCTATTTTTATACTTATGTTTGTATGGTACATCAGTATCGAAGATTGTGTATACATTTATACGCGGGGTACCCTTGTGGTATAGAACTTGATAGGACATTTGTTGGCTTATGGTTAGCCTGGTGTTTAGAAGAAGTTGAGCTTCATGATGTTTATAATTCCAGCGTCTGATAGAATGGAGAATCTTGGATTGAATTTTAAATAGAGTATACGGTATTAGTGCTGTAACTGGATGCAAAAATAGACTTTTATTTTATATTTTCGATAATGACACAATGAAGAAAAATGTATATTTTACCTTTTAAGTATTAACAGGCGCATTAGTTTGTTAACACAGACATTATTTTTATGACATAAACAGGCGCAGTAGTTTGTTGATGTATGGTTAAGTTTAAGTTTTAAAGATAGCTGTAATATTTGCTTGTTTTTGGCAAATTAGAGATTTTTTATTTGTATAATAGAGTATTACGTACATAGCAATATTGTGAAAAGAATTTTTGAAATGTATTGTCAGAATTGACAAGACCATATTTCGAGGAAGAAATGTATTCTGGGGAGGGGCAGTGTTGTAAATGTGTGTATTGGTTATTTCCAAGTAAAGAAATATTGTTATCATTGTATTAAGAGAGTTTATATGAGTTGTCAGAAGTTATTTCTAGTATTTCTAGTATATTGAATGAGTAATTAACGTACGTTTTACTTTATGGTATTAGATGTATCGATAACGTCATATATGGCGCAAATTTGTCATGTATTATTCAGAACATTACCGTTGGGTAAATATTGTAATCGTGAACCCAAAAGTGTTCCTTTGTGAGCTCTCAACTGGAAGAAATAATATGTCTTGATTGTTTTAGTAACAAAAGTGTATTATTATTAGCATTTGAGTCGAGGACTTGTATATTTTATGTCAGCGTTTGACGTTATGTTTTTCTTCTTGCTTAGAATATTTACTTCCGGGAATTTCAAATAAATACCAGTGCAACCGTCACGTTCGTCAGTCTTTGCTGTGTTTACATTTGGCTTGCAGCAAGGCTCAGCCCGGGGGTTCCTAGAGGTGAGAAGCAGCGCATTTAGCTGTATGCCTTGCATTTATTTACGTTGTCATTGTAGAATTTATTAAGATAATCCCGTTTGGTCCGTACAAAAATACAAGAGAAAGAATGTTATTTTAGTAGCTCCGCCCCGTATGTAAATTATATAATTGTTGCTCGAATATTGTACATGTATGGAAATATATCAGCTGTTCTAGAAGTTTAATAAAAGTATCATTTTCTACTATTGATTATTTATTCACGCTACCAATGATGAGAGAGAAAAGACAACAGATTTGACGGCCGTATTTATTTATCCCTTAGTTTAGTCACAAGTTTTGTGAGTTTATTCGTATTTGCTGGCTTTAAAACTATACAAAAACATAGCAAGAAGCAGAAATTACAACACCATCGAATAACTCTATCTCATCGGAGTATAAACTTCATATAGGGTTTATACCCATCAATAAACTTTGTCTTATTTATGTATGAACGATAAATATGGTTTATACCCATGGAATAACTCTGTTTCATTGGTATATAAACGATGTATAGGGTTTATACCTATCTAAAAACTTTGTCTCATTTATGTATGAACGATAAATATGGTTTATACCCATCGAATAACGCTGTCTCATTGGTATATAAACGATGTATAGGGTTTATACCTATCTAAAAACTTTGTCTCATTGGTGTATGAACGTCATATACGGTGTATACCCTTCGAATAACTCTGTCTCATTGGTGTATGAACGTCATATAGGGTTTATACCCATCGAATAACTCTGTCTCATTGTTGTTTGAACGTTATATAGGGTTTATACTCATCGAATAACTCTGTCTCATTGGTGTATAAACATTGTTTAGGGTTTCTTCCAATCGAATTACTGTGTCTTATTGGTGTATGAACGTTATATAGAGTTTATACCCATCGAATAACTCTGTCTCATTGGTGTATAAACTTCATATAGGGTTTATAGATATAAGAAGATGTGGTATGAGTGCCAATGAGACAACTCTCCATCCAAATCAAAATTTATAAAAGTAAACCATTATTTATACCCATCGAAAAACTTTGTCTCATTTATGTTTGAACGATAAATATGGTTTATACTAATCGAATACTGGTAACTCTGTCTCATTGTTGTTTGAACGTTATAAAGGGTTTATACCCATCGAATAACTCTGTCTCATTGGTGTATAAACTTCATATAGGGTTTATACCCATCGAAAAACTTTTTCTCATTTATGAATGAACTATAAATATGGTTTATACCCATCGAATAACTCTGTCTCATTGTTGTTTGAACGTTATATAGGGTTTATACCCATTAAATAACTCTGTTTCATTGTTGTTTGAACGTTATATTGGGTTTATACCCATCAAATAACTCTGTCTCATTTATGTATGAACGATGAAAATGGTTTATACCCATCGAATAACGCTGTCTCATTGGTATATAAACGATGTATAGGGTTTATACCTAAATAAAAACTTTGTCTCATTGGTGTATGAACGTCATATAGGGTTTATACCCATCGAATAACTCTGTCTCATTGTTGTTTGAACGTTATATAGGGTTTATACCCATCGAATAACTCTGTCTCATTGTTGTTTGAACGTTATATAGGGTTTATACTCATCGAATAACTTTGTCTCATTTATGTATGAACGATAAATATGGTTTATACCCATCGAATAACGCTGTCTCATTGGTATATAAACGATGTATAGGGTTTATACCCATCGAAAAACTTTGTCTCATTTATGTATGAACGATAAATATGGTTTATACCCATCGAATAACGCTGTCTCATTGGTATATAAACGATGTATAGGGTTTATACCTATCTAAAAACTTTGTCTCATTGGTGTATGAACGTCATATACGGTGTATACCCTTCGAATAACTCTGTCTCATTGGTGTATGAACGTCATATAGGGTTTATACCCATCGAATAACTCTGTCTCATTGTTGTTTGAACGTTATATAGGGTTTATACTCATCGAATAACTCTGTCTCATTGGTGTATAAACATTGTTTAGGGTTTCTTCCAATCGAATTACTGTGTCTTATTGGTGTATGAACGTTATAAAGGGGTTATACCCATCGAATAACTCTGTCTCATTGGTGTATGAACGATGTATAGGGTTTATACCTATCTAAAAACTTTGTCTCATTGGTGTATGAACGTCATATAGGGTTTATACCCATTGAATAACTCTGTCTCTTTGATTTATGATCGTCATATAGGGTTTATACCCATCGAATAACTCTGTCTCA